GACTCTGTCTTGAATACATGGTCGAGTTTCCAATCCGTTTGCGGAAAAATATTAGTGATCCCGATTACACTACTCGTGATTTCTTGGGAAGTTTTGTATTGCGAAGAGAGCCTCTGTCTTGAATTAAGGGACGAGCTCATTATCACCATTCGTGGAAAATAACAGAAAATCCCGATTACATAAAGACTTCAGAACACAATCATTTTGACGTGCTTAAACAGAGTTAAGTGCCTTTAATTACTAATTCACCTTGTTCCGTTCAAACAGTCTTTTGCGATCTGTCTTGTGCAATTTCTGCATGTCTTTCAGAACGCACCGTGTGAGGATTTTCCCATCACCTAAAGGATCATATATAAGCACCACTGCCTGTTGCTTTGAAAAGTCCTAGCTATTACTACTTTATTGCAAGACTCTCAATTTTCTCTTTCCATCAACGATGTATGAGTTCAATAGAAATATAGCGTTTGATGATTTTACATTTGAAATCAACACATAGCAAAGTTTACTGTGAAAATGAATCGCAATTTCGATTGGGAATTCTCCTTTGTAAAATCAAATTTCCAAATACCTTTTAAATAGGTTAAAGAAGGACGTAAAATTCCATTCATTTCATTTTTCATTTTTTGAATAGGTTACAATACATTCCCATTTTATTTGGTCGTGAGCATTAAAACAAGCCTTTTCTACCTTTTAGAAACATGCAATCCGATTTTAATTTAACTCTGAACATATACTTTAACTACTTCAACTACTTTACACTATTTTCGATTTTAATGGAACTATACATATAGGAATTAAGTTTTTATGTACAGGCCGTATTCGTCCATCATCTGTTACATAAAAACACAATTCTAATTAGAAAGACCAAACGCAAACAGTAGCGACTCTAGAACGTGGGGTAAAAGCAGGAGGGGAGAGGGGACTCTTGTGGTTGAAATTCCAAGCCGGGGGTCTAAGGGGTTAAATTCCACACCCCTAGAAAAAAAAAAAATTTCTGAGACACATAGGGCGATTGGCGAATGTCACGAAATAACACATTTCTTTGAAACGAAGTGGGTGTGCCATAATGGAAACAAACTAGTTTCATGGATGGTCGGTTGCTCTATACACTTCGCTTCCGACTTAAATACGCATG